TGGCTCCCTTCTGTGCTGAGTGCATGAAAAAGAAAATGGAGAAACATCGGTAGGTTTTCCCAGAAAGAAGGCCACCCTTACTTTTTCGTTTGAAAGAGTATCTCAATCATTTGAGCTGAGAGCCTTCAACTGACCCTGTAGTCCAGGCAGGCCCTTAAATGGTCCACCCTTCTGTCTAAGCCTGCAGCGTAGCTAGTGTTACAGGCTTGTGCTACAACGCCTGGGTTTTCATTTGTTGTGTATTTTAAACATTTCCATCTGCTACTGAGGGGTGCTCAAGGTTACAGATGGAGGGGAGCTGACAAGAGCTACTCTTTGAGCCCCCAAGTTCTGTCCACACTGTGCTGGAGATGACGGAGAGGCAAAGTCTGCCAGGTAATGATGAAACGTTAAGGGGGTTCGAGGGCTTGCCTCGGGGCTAGGCAACTCCTCAAAATGGATGGAACCAATCCCTAAAATACACAGGACAGACTTCTGCTGCCTTCCCTCCCCACTCTAAGCTGTTCACTAGGCTTTTTATTTCTTTTTTTTTTTTCATTGATTTTTATTGAGCTCTACATTTTTCTCTGCTCCCCTCTCTGCCTCTCTCCTCCCCATTTCAACCCTCCCCGAAGGTCCCCATGCTCCTAATTTACTCAGGAGATCTTGTCTTTTTCTACTTCCCATATAGATTCGATCTATGTATGTCTCTCTTAGTGTCCGCATTGTTGTCTAAGTTCTCTGGGATTGTGATTTGTAGGCTGACTTTCTTTGCTTTATGTTTAAAAACCACCTATGAGTGAGTCCATGTGATAATTGTCTTTCTGTGTCTGGGTTTCCTCACTCAAAATAATGCTTTCTAGCTTCATCCATTTTCCTGCAAAATTCAAGATGTCATTATTTTTTTCTGCTGTGTAGTACTCCATTGTGTAAATTACCACATTTTCCTTATCCATTCTTCGCTCAAGGTTCATTTAGGTTGTTTCCAGATTCTGGCTATGACAAACAAAGCTGCTATGAACATAGCTGAGCATGATTGAGCATCCTTTGGATATATACCCAAAAGTGGTATTACTGGGTCTTAAGGAAGGTTGTTTCCTAATTTTCTGAGAAATCGCCACACTGACATCCAAAGGGACTGCACCAGCTTGCTTTCTTACTAGCAATGCAGAAGTTTTCCCTTTTCCCCACAACCTCTCCAGCATAAGTTGTCATCAGTGTTTTTGTTCTTGGCCATTCTTTTTTTTTTTAAGTTTTTTTTATTAATTTATAAAAGTTTCCACTTCCGCCCCTCCTCCCAATAAATACCCTCCCACTCCCCCCACTCCTTCTCCTCCTCCCTCTCCAGCCCTAAGAGCAGTCAGGGTTTCCTGCCCTGTGAGAAGTTCAAGTTTCCCCCCCCCCCCCCCCCCCGTCCCTCCAGGTCTAGGAAGGTGAGCATCCAAACAGACTAGGATCCCAAAAAGCAGAGGAAGCAAGTCCCAGTGCCATTATCAATGGCTTCTCAGACAGTCCCCATGCCAGTCACATTCAGAGAATCCGGTTTGATCACGTGCTCATTCAGTTCCAGTCCAGCTGGCCTTAGTGAGCTCTCATTAGATCAGTCCCCTTGTATCAGTGGGTGAACGCACTCCTTACGGTCCTGCCTTCCTTGTTCATGTTCTCCCTCCTTCTGCTCCTCATTTGGACCTTGGGGGCTCAGTCCAGTGCTCCAATGTGGGTCTCTGTCTCTATCTCCATCCATCGTCGGATGAAGGTTCACTCTGATCCTGTCTTCCTTGTTCACGTTCTCCCTCCTTCTGCTTCTCATTTGGACCTAGGGAGTTAAGTCCAGTGTTCCAATGTGGGTCTCTGTCTCTATCTCCATCCATCACCAGATGAAGGTTCTATGGTGATATGCAAAACATTCATCAGTATGGTTATGGACCAAGGCCAGTTCAGGCACCCTCTCCTCTGCTGTCCAGGGAACAATCTGGGGATCTCTCCTTGGACCTGGGAACCCCTCTAGAATCAAGTCTCTTGTAAACCCTAAAATGGCTCCCTTAGTTGAGGTATATACTTCCCTGCTCCCATATCCATCCTTCCTCCCTCCACCCCATCCCAATCCCCCAAGCTTTCCCCAATCCTCCCCTACTCCCCTCTCTCTAACCCTCTCCCCTTCCATTCCCCCCAACCCCCGTGCACCCAAGGTTGCCTGGCACTCTTGTCTACTTCCAATATCCAGGAAAATAACTACATGATTTTCTTCAGGTTCATCTTGTTATTTAGCTTCTCTAGGATCACAACTTCTTACAAGAGTAAGATTAGGCTTTTTATTTCTTAAAGGTGGGTGTGATCAGAAGATAATTTCCACCTCTTCCAAACACTGCAACTGGTGTCTGGGTCATACACTCCACCTTCCCTCGGGGTACTATTGTGGGGCCTCTGCTCTAGGGGCAGGCAGTTACTTCTATTACCACGTTAGGTCCTATGCCACTTCACTGACCAGCTCAGTCCAGAATCTCTCTGAGTCTTTCCCATGTGTCGATTTTTTACGTTCTAATGTACTGCCATTCTCATGAGCATGGAAAAGTAGATTATGTTCACCCTTCTTTAAAAATAAGAAAAAGCCAGTTTAGAGAGAAGACTTAATGTTTAAAAGCATTGCCTACTCTTGCCCAAAACCAGGGTTTGATTCCCAGCATCCACCCAGCGGATAACTGTCTGTAACTCCAGTCCTAAGAGACTCCCTCTTCTGGCCTTCGGTTGGTATTGCATACAGGCACGAAGTTGGTCCACAGACAAGCATGCAGTCAGTAGCATAGCTTCCTCCCACTCTGCTCCTCCTGGTCCCTCTTTCTCATGTGTCACGAAGCTCTCCGAGCACCACAGCCCCAAACAACTTTCCAAGATGCATCTTATCTCCTTGGAACTAAACCCAGGCTCCTGTGTCAGTCCTTATCTAATTAGATTTCTCAGCTTTGCTTGATGCACGCAGTGTGTCCCTGCCTCCTGAAGACATTTTCTTCCTATTGCTTACAGAAAAATATGCTTCCGTTAGGAATGCAAAGATAAATACATAATCTTGCTTTTACTTCTATTGGGAAGGGTTTGCTAGCTGCCAAGGAATTCTGGGCTTTCAGATTTTCTCATAAACCTAACTGCAGGAGTACTTCCAAGGCTTTTTATGACAGGGCACACATAGAAAAATGATAGATTCCCCAAAGTCTGGGGATACCGCACAAGACAGAAAGGAAGGGAGTCCCCTACCACCGCCACACCCCAGGACTAGGAGATAAGCTTCACACGTGAATCCAGAGGCTGCAGTTTAGTCCTCAAGTATAAGCTGTCTCACCAGCTTTCCTGTTCTGCAGAGACAGCGCAACTATTCAGTATCCTCGAGAATGACTCTTCTGTCCCAAGAATTTGACCCAAAAGCTTCACTTTCTTCCTGGATGCTGTTTAGGGCTGAACAAGATTTAGTCTCTCAGTTCATGCACCCGAGCCTCTTTTACGCTCCAAGGCATCTAGCACCAGTAAACAGTGTTCTTAAGGCATCGGTTAAAATCGTGCCCCAGATAATATTACTTCATAGAAAATGAGAAGCCATCATCCCCCCCCCGAAATTTAAAAAATAATTATTTTTTCCCAACTCAATCAGTTTCTCCTCCCTTCCTCCTCTCCCCACCCCCATCCTTCTTCTCATCCGCACCCACTCCAAGAAGGTATCTCTTAATTGAAATGAGCTTTAGACTGCATGCACTTCTTTTCTCTGAGTTAGAAGTTAGATGTTTGTTACTTTAAAAGAGTCGCCTTAAAAAAAATGCGCAAATTTTGTTTCTTCACACATTCCTTCAATAGGAATTCCCCTTGGTTTTTAGCCCATTGTGAGCAGTCGTGTTTTAAGCCTGCCGCTTCCCTGCGGTACCTCCAATGCTCATTTCCGTTTTCTATCCCCAGCATTCAAGTCTATCACACCCATAGGCCGCCTCCTCCATCCCCCCCACCCCACCCGCAACCACACCCTTCATTTCCACCCTACGATCCCTCACCTCCACCACCCTCCCAGTCTTAAACAATTCATTCCTTAATCTCCTTCATCTTCTTAACCCCCCTTTTTAAAAAATTGCCACAAGAGGGCAGCAGTTTCATATGAATGGGACTCAGGCACTGAGGCACATTAAAATGCAAACGAGCATTCACCAAAAAATTTAAAAGGACACAAAGCTGGGTGGGTAGGGAAGGGAATGGATCTGGGAGAGGTTGTGGGAGGGAATGGATGTGCTCACAACACATCATACGAAATTCTCAAAGAGCTAGTGATGATACCCTATAAAAATGCTGCTGACTGTCCAGAGATTTCCATGGAAGAAAAACGGTTTCAAGGGGAGAAAGAGAGGAAAGAGAGAGGGCATTGGGGCATGAAGATGACCAAAATTCATTTTTACATGTATAAAAATGGAAGAGAATTTTTCATTAAAAATTTTTTAATTGAAAATTTTTGTAATTAAAACCCAATACTTGAGCTGAAAAGATGGCTCAGCGGTTAAGAGAACTGACTGTTCTTCTAGAGGTCCTGAGTTCAATTCCCACCACCATATGGTGGCTCACAACCAACTGTAATAAGATCTGGTACCCTCTTCTGGCACGGGCATACATGTAAGCAGAATACTGTATACTAAGTAAATAAAATAAAGTTTAAAAATACTTATTCACTAGGCAGAATAATTTTGCAATGATAATATATATATATACATATATTGCTATACTGTTACCCAATGCAATGATGATGTGTACACATATTTATGTTTTCCCAAATTTATTTTGCCTTTTACCTTATACTTACCTTAACTATCTCAACACTATCAATTCTAACAATAGTGTGATGATAAATTAAGTCATTTTCTAAGAAAAAAAGTTTAACAATTATAATCTTACTCTACATACATTTCATACTCTGGAAGTAATGACGAATCTCGAATGGAAAAGAAAATCAGGCAGAACTGTGATGAGCGGAGATGACCTGTTTATGTCTCTTCCAGGTACTGGTGGAGAAGAGTGGAGGCAGAACAGAGCGGCTCCAAACCTCAGACTAAATCCGAAAACAACTTCCTGAACCAGGATGGAGGCGGAATCTTACCACAATGAAACCACAGTCAATGGCACCCCAGTGAATCCCCAGGCTTTGGAACGCCATGGGCTTTGGGAAGTCGTCACTATTGCAGCGGTGACGGCCGTGGTCAGCCTCATGACCATTGTGGGCAATGTCTTGGTCATGATCTCCTTCAAAGTCAACAGTCAGCTCAAGACAGTTAACAACTATTACCTGCTCAGCTTGGCCTGTGCGGACCTCATCATTGGGGTCTTCTCCATGAACCTCTACACGACCTACATCCTCATGGGTCGCTGGGTTCTCGGGAGTCTGGCTTGTGACCTTTGGCTTGCACTGGACTATGTTGCCAGCAACGCTTCTGTCATGAACCTTCTGGTGATTAGCTTCGACCGTTACTTTTCCATCACAAGACCACTGACATACCGGGCCAAGCGTACCCCAAAGAGGGCGGGCATTATGATCGGCTTGGCCTGGTTCATCTCCTTCATCCTCTGGGCGCCAGCAATCCTCTGCTGGCAATACTTGGTGGGGAAGCGGACAGTACCCCCCGATGAGTGCCAGATCCAATTCCTCTCCGAGCCCACCATTACTTTCGGCACTGCCATCGCTGCCTTCTACATCCCTGTCTCCGTCATGACCATACTCTACTGCCGGATCTACAGGGAAACGGAGAAGCGAACCAAGGACCTGGCTGACCTCCAGGGTTCTGATTCTGTGGCAGAAGCCAAGAAGAGAAAGCCAGCTCACAGGACCCTGCTCAGATCTTTCTTTAGCTACCCTAGACCCAGCCTGGCCCAGAAGGAAAGGAATGACTGGTCATCCTCCCGCAGAAGACCCTCAACCACAGGAAAGCCAACCCAGGCCACGGGCCTAAGTGCAGACTGGGACAAGGCTGAGCAGGTCACTACCTGTAGCAGCTATGCCTCCTCAGAGGATGAGGCCAAGACCACCACTGACCCTGTCTTCCAAGTGGTCTACAAGAACCAGGCCAAGGAAAGCGCAAGGAAAGAATTCAGCACTGAAGAGACCAAGGAAACTTTTGGGAATGCTCAGACTGAAAACAATGACTATGACACTCCCAAGTACTTCCTGTCCCCGGCTACTGCTCAGAAACTCAAGAGTCAGAAGTGTGTTGCCTATAAGTTCCGACTGGTGGTAAAAGCTGATGGGACCCAAGAGACTAACAATGGCTGTCGCAAGGTGAAAATCATGCCCTGTACCTTCCCGGTGTCCAAAGACCCTTCCACGAAAGGCCTGGATCCCAACCTCAGCCATCAAATGACCAAACGAAAGAGAATGGTCCTAGTCAAGGAGAGGAAAGCAGCCCAGACCTTGAGTGCCATCCTCCTGGCCTTCATCATCACGTGGACCCCTTACAACATCATGGTCCTGGTTTCCACCTTCTGTGACAAGTGTGTCCCTGTCACCTTGTGGCACTTGGGTTACTGGTTGTGCTACGTCAACAGCACTGTCAACCCCATCTGCTATGCTCTCTGCAACAGAACCTTCCGGAAGACTTTTAAGATGCTGCTCCTCTGCCGGTGGAAAAAGAAAAAAGCCGAGGAAAAACTGTACTGGCAAGGGAACAGCAAGCTACCCTGAAAAGTCAGCAACTCCCCTCGAAAGCATCAGAACCACGTGGGGTCCGGTTTGCTTGTTTTCAAGGACGTCATCTGCCATTCTGAGTCCCCGAAGACTTGTCAGGACTCAAGGTCTGTTGTCAGATGAAGAGTAACACACACACAGCAACGAGTCTTCTCTATTACCAAGGCCACCTGATGCCACTAGAGTCTGCTGGTGGAGCAGAGAGACAGACGCAGGGCCCTGCTCTGGACGTACATCTGAGTCACAGTGGGCAATGATTTGGGGGAACTGACCTGTGCAGAACAGTAGCGACCAGATGGAAATCTTCCCCTGTGGCTTTCTGTCATAGACTATTCTGGACTGTGTATGTGTCTGTGTGAAATTGTCTTATACCAGTGAGAATCAGGAGAATGTAGGCCACTGTCGCCTCTGGATAAGAATGATATTCAACTGGCTTCTAAGAATATCACTCGTAATTTAATCAGCACTTATTATGCAGCTATCACGTGCTTTGTACTGTGGCATGTTTTTCTGTTCATATGCAGAACGATGCTCTCACTCCCCCTTTCATAGCTATGACAACGCCTGTGCCCGGTGAAACCATGGTGATTTCCACAGACCATCAGTTTCTCAGAATCCTGAGTCAAGAAGGGTGCTGACGTTGGCACACTTGGCACACTTGGTCTCCTAAAGGGGCTTCTATTCTGCTACTAATGATGATCAAGTTTCCGTACAGTTACTTTTGTGTTTTACCAGTGAGGCAATTATTTCTCTAAACAAATATTGTGTATCATTTTTGGTGCCCATTTGGAATCATTTACTAAATATGCTGTGTTCCCAGGAGAAACTGATTGTATAACAGCCCTGTCCAGTAGGAATCCTCTCCAAAACATTGAATGTTGGGTCTTTTATGTTGTTTTCAGGGGAATTGCTTTCTAATCTCTTCTCAGGACAATTCAGACACAAAACATGGAAACCAAATATGCTTTTCCTTCTATGCTTTGACATTTATTTAAGAGTTTTTGAAGCTCCCAATCCCCCTCATTCAACCCTTAACACACCCAGACATTCACAGATTACTGTCTTGTGCTGGGAAAGAAATGCTACTTGGGCAAGCAGAGGGAAATATTCTCTCTCTCTCTCTCTCTCTCTCTCTCTCTCTCTCTCCCTTCCTCTCTTATAAGTCTTTCATATTTGAAAGAAATGACTTCCTTATTCAGTCCTACCCAAATTCACCCCAAAGTGAGGAGCTCAGAAACTTACTGTTGAGAGTTCAGTGCAGTTGGTTACGGTCCTTAAATATGAACGCTTTGGCTAGGAGGAGCCCAGTGATACAACATTTTCTTCCACATCCATGAGGCACCAGATTTGACCCTCAGCACCAAAGCAAACATTGTTTAAATGTAAGTTTCATCTTAAAAACTAAGTGTAAATTATAATGACATAAAAACAAAATTATCAACATACATTTGTGCCATGGAATTATTTAAAAACTGAGTTTGTTGGAACTATTTAACTGAAGTATTTTTATATAAACAAACTGGAAGTGGAGTGGTGCTCATTGGACAGTGCTTGTCCAGCATGCTGAAAACCCTGGGTTTGAGTTTTAGAAGCAAGAGAGGAAAAATATTGAACCTAAGATGCTTTTTTGATGACTCTAAACATAAATATATGTACAAGAAATTAAAGCTATGAAATAAGTTGAATTAATGAAAGCTCCACAGTAAAAGCAGTGCAGAGCTACATGAAGAACTGGCAGGTGGAGAAATCCTTTTGGAAGCTTCCTAGTTAGATCTGCTATTATTTGACACTGTGTTAAAAAATTCTCTACACTTCAGCTGGGTGTGGTGGAACATACCTCTAATACCAACACTTGAGCAGTGGAGGCAGCTTTGTCTATAGCAAGATCCTATTTCAAAAAGAAAAAAAATCTGGATTTCATTTCACTCAGTGGAAGCCAGCTCTCTTTCAACCTCATTTGCTAAGAGGATGGCAAAAGAAGAGAAGAAGAAGAAGAAGAAGAAGAAGAAGAAGAAGAAGAAGAAGAAGAAGAAGAAGAAGAAGAAGAAGAAGAATTGGCCTGTTTCCTGGGAACTAGACGTGTGTCTGAGTTCTTCCTCCAACCCTGGAAGAAGAGAGTTAGATGCCAAGGAGCCTTTGGGATGGGGAACTCTTGGGCAGCACAAGGCTAATCTACCCAGGCTTCTATTCTATCCTGCAGAGCCCTGATGTTGAAATGGAACATGTTTGATGCACCGTAGCTGTGGAGTCCTTGTGAAGGGCAGGTTCCTACCTGCTAAGAAACTAGCAGAAAATACTAATTGGCTCAGATCTCTAAGACAGAGTTCCCAGGCCTACGTGACACCAGGAAGGTGTGGCTTTATTCCGAAACCTGCTCTACCAGCTGTAGACAGGCTTGATTCTCTTCCTTTAAGGCCTTGGCTGCTGACAGAATTGGAAATCTTTCAATGAAAACGGCATTTTAATCCTATATTGGGTATTCATCAGTCACAGTAGAAGGATAAGGCAGTTAAAGCAAAGGAACCCAGAGCTGGAATGGAGAGAGTATTGCTCCATCATCACACAGAATGAGCGCTTTTAGTTTATCTTTTGTGAAACTGATCTTTGACTTTGGAAAGTAGCCAGGTTCACAAAGGTACTCATGCCGACTAACACAGACAAAGTGTACCCCAAAACTACTAGGGGAAACCAAAGTTTCCTTGAGTCGGGGCCTTAAGTGGGGCCTTCAGAATGCAAAGATTCAGCTGTCAACTACAGGGACTGGTTGAGCGGGCGGGGTGTATCCTGTCCTACGCCTTCTGGGCTAGGATCCCAGATCCCAGTCTCCTGAGCTCTGTCTGTGGTGGAAACTGTGTTCAGCTTTAACTAGTTATCCATTGAAGCTATGTGTTGCTAATAATGTGATTTGTTTCTCTTTGGCTGTGAACTTGGTAACAAGTCCCTCTTTTCCATTCCTGTTTGGCTAAACAACACACCTTACCAGTGTTCCTCTGCTTTGCTCCTCTGGCGAGTGTGCTCTGAGGGTGATGCTGTCAGTTATTTGTATTGTGAAATCTGCACCTAAACCCTTGGGTTGGGATATATAGCCGTCTACTACAAATATCCGAATCACAGCAAAGCATATTGTACTCATGTTGTTCTGGATATTAAAGACATTCAGCTGCCCAGTGATTCTGTGAAAAGTGTTAAAACTGGAGACTCTTCTCCGGTTAGCATGACAGACCCAATTTGTACCGGGGTCTTACCCAGCTCTGCATGGCCTTCCCTTTTACAATAGGGCACACAATATGGAATACACATCCCTGTTGCTACTTTCTGTGATGTGCCATTCCAGTTACCAATGATCAAATTAAGATTAAATAATGATGATAAAACGTCTGTGGCTAAAAGTCTTCCTTTCTCCTGTAGGACTGGGATGAGGGACAAACCTGGAAGTCCAACTCTTCTCAGACAGAGGCCCTGTGCCAATGGGAACAGCCTCACTTTCTCCCCCGTCATGTCATTAGCATTTTGTGATTGTAATTTCTATCTCATCAGTTCAGGATTATGCAAGCTCGTTGCTAATTTAAGGAAATCTAGACAGGGAGTGGGTAAATGTGTTAGGAAAGGAGCCAGAAGCACATTTTAAAAAGAACAAATTCTTTTGAATTCTGAACTTATGTAAAAGCTGAATCAATACTAGAAGAATCTCTTTGTCCTTCATCTGTTTTACAAACCCATTAAGGTTTTGTTCTATTAGTGTGCTCTCTCTCTCAGTGTGCACAGCTGTGTGTGCTGGCCCACCATTTTTTTTCTCACCTCTCTTAGAGTAGGTTTTCTCCATGTGTCTATTTACCTTGGAATGTTTCCATGTTTGTTCCTTAAGAACAATGTTACTTTTATGTAACTACTGCACAAACAACGAAAATCAAGAAAATTGACATTGCTACAATGTTGATTTGTAGTCTATACACTGTTCAAATTTCACTAGTCCTACAAATGTTGTTCATTGTAAGAATTTCTTTTCCAGTCCAGGTTCTAATCTAGGACCAAACAGAATGCTCTACCACGGCCTGTTTAGAACCTTGCATCTGGAGGAGAGCCTCAGCTTTTCTTGGCCTTTCATAGCGTGTGCGTTTTTCAGGCCCTTCTGCATGCAAAGCAAGCACTCTTGTGTTGATCTACAGACTCAGTCCCACAATGGTCCTGCACTTTCCTTCCCCCTACTTTGGGACATGATCTGGCTGTTTTGGAACTCAAGATTCTCCAGCATTAGCTTCCCAAGTGCTTGGATTTTAAGTATTAGCCGCTCCCCACACTGATTTAACTTCTTTTTAATAAGTAGAATATTAATGTTTGTAAAAGTCAAAACTACAACCAGGTTTACTCAGAAAAGTGTCCCTCTGCCCTCTCTTTCTTTTATCCTATTCCATCATTGTCTAGTTAACAGACTCTGTTTCTCCCCCTTTGTCTTTAACAAAACAAAAAACAAAGGCAAAAAAAAAAAAACCCACAATGGCCAGCAAGAAGGCTCCACAGATAAAGTTGCTTGCCTCTAAACCCAAGTTCAATCTCTGGGACCCACGAGGTGGAACGAGAGAACCAGTTCCTGCAAATTGTCCTCTGATGGCATACAAACAAAATAAATAAATATAAAAAGGCTTTAAAAATTCTTATAGTCATTTTTTTCAGTGTTAGCATCCATTTTAAAATTCTGCATATTTTGATGTTTTAAGAAAAATATCCACCGCTATTTTTCTCTTTCTGTGAAAAATGAAGCTCTGACTTTTCCACAGAAATTATTTCCCTCAAACTCACCATCCCTAGGGCCCTCAATTTACAAAAGTGCTGTGTGGACATGGATGTCTCTATCAAGCAATTTTTCATTGGGTATTATGTTCTAGAGCTCGCCACAAAGCTAGACACATGGGTCCTAGAGAAGACACACGCTGTACCCGCCTGCAGCAGCTACTATTACTGAAAGCTATGAAAGCATCCAGTAAAACTAATAGAGCTATGTCATAGGGTTTCTATTGCTGTGAAGAGACACCATGGCCACGGCAACTCTTATAAAGAAAAACATTTAACTGAGGTGGCTCCCGTACAGTTTCAGAGATTCAATCCCTTATCATCAGAATGGGGAGCATGGTGGCATGCAGGCAGATGTGGTGCTGGAGCTGAGAGTCCTATATTTAGACTCAGAAGCAACAGGAAATCGACTATCACACAGAGTGAAGCTTGAGAAAAGAGACCTAAAAGCCCCCACACTGGCACACTTCCTCCAACAAGACCACACCTATTTCAATAAGGTCACACCTCCTAACAGTGCCACTCCCTTTGGGGGCCATTTTCCTTCAAACCACCACAAGTTATGGAGAGAATAAGTGATAACAGACAAAAGACCAACTCACATGTTCATGTCGAACTCAGAGAGGCGACAGCCATTATAATCCTCCAAGGAACCGCACTCCTCTCCCTTAGTAATTCATGAGTTATGTGTGGGGGTGGGGAATACAACCTTAAATTCATCTGTGATCCAAAATTAGGGGAATAAAACCAAAGTAAAATGAGCCTCGTTTTTGCTTATTGTGTCCAACAATTATCCATACTTATTTAGCATCATTATATGTCATGGAAATCTATCTACCAAAAAATCCTAATGCCTTTTTTTATATTAACTCTCAACAAGTCTCAAACCACTAGATATCCACAAGGATGTTCATTATGTTCCTTCTAAGAATGGCCATCCCAAGAGTGCCATTTCCCAGTCCTTGGCAGAGCGTTTAGAAATGTGATTATCTTGTATAAATGTATCTGCATTGACATCCTAATAAAAAGAAGCAACTTCACCTCTAACAGAATGTTGCAAATGCATTCTTGTATTCCAAATATCTCAAGATGGAAATTAGTACTTATTTTTAGTGGTACTCATGTATCCAAAGATAGACAAAGTTACCTTTGGTCAAAATCCATCAAGTTATTGATGATGATATACTAACAATAGGCCAGATTACCAACTGATCAGTCCAGTAGATTGTGGTAGAAAACACCACATGCTGAAAGATAGCAGTGGGAATACTGATCAGATTTCCTCTGGTATCTTGAGTACAACTCTACTCCCTGGAAACCCGGTCTGTCATGGACAGACAGTCTTCAGATGGGAGGGATCTTTGATACCCAGGAAGTAGGGCCTATTGAGAAGAATAAGAAAAGAAATGATGCTACATGACTGGAGAGATGACTCAGCCATTAAGAGCACTGGCTGCTCCTCCATAGGATCCAGGTTCAATTCCCAGCACCCACATCATGGCTTATAACTATCTGTAAACCCAGTTTCAGGAGATCTGATGCCCTCTTCCAGCCTCTTGAGGTGCTAGGCACACATGAGGCGCACAGACATACAGGTAGGCAAAACACTCATTGGATAAGCAAACAAACAAACAACCTAGAGGACCAGGCAAGGTTCAGGTGGTAAAGTTCTGAGGACCTAAATTTAGACCCCCAGCATCCACTTAAAAGCCAGTGTGCACTTATAACTCAGAACTGGGGAGTTGAAAGCAGGAGGATCCCTAGGGCTTGTTGGCAGCCAGTCTAGCCAAAGAAATTCAGTGAGAAACCCTGACTCAAAAAATAAAGGGAGAGCAACTGAGAAAGAAACTCCATGTCAGTCTCTGGTCTGAACATCACATACACACACATGCTTGAACACACAAAAAATTATATTCAGTTTTGCTTTATATTCACTATACTTTATAAGACAATGATTAATATAGCAATACATATTTTCCTAGAAGACATACAAATGAAAAATTACCAATAATTCTGCCAGCAAAATATCTTAGCATCTACTCTTGAAATCTTATTGTATGCACACACATACTTTAAAATTCTTATCAGCTGGGCGATGGTGGTGCACGCCTTTAATCCCAGCACTCGGGAGGCAGAGACAGGCGGATCTCTGTGAGTTCAAGACCAGCCTGGTCTACAAGAGCTAGTTCCAGGAAAGGCTCCAAAGCTACAGAGAAACCCTGTCTCAAAAAACCAAAAAAAATTATCATATATTAATTTTATAAAACAGTATGTTTTGTGATATTTTCATACAAGCATATAGTATATTTTAATCACATCCACTCCAAAAGCCTCTTTTGTCCCCCTCCTCGGGTCCCTCTTCACCTGTCAAAGCCCTACTTCTCCCTTCACGATCTTTCTATTTTCATATAGATTCTGCATACGAGAGAAGACACGAGCATTTTGTTTTTCTGTGTCTGGTTTATTTTGCTTAACATGATAATCCCTAGTTTGCTCTATTTTCCCACCTACCACATGATTTTGCCCATCTTTATGGTGGATTAAATGCCACTGTGAATGTATAGTACATTGTCTTCATCCATTCATCCACCGCTAGACACATCTACTGCTTCTAAACCTTGACTGACCTGAATAGCGCTGCGATAAACATGGGGGTGCGGGTATCTCCATTGGATGCTCTTTAATCCCTTCAGTTATATGTGTAGAAGTATGCTAGCCTTATTTTTAGTCTTTGGAGGAACCTCCACTTAATTGACGCTCCCATTAGCAGTCTATAAAGTTTGGTTTCCCCTGCCCCCACACCAGCCATCTATAAACATGTTTCATCTGAACTTACAGTGCTATTAAGTACCATTTGGCGGTCCTTGAATAAAAAGTATCTGGCCACTTAGACTCTTCAAAGAAGAAATCATAAGGCTTCAAGTGACACAGAAAGCTCCCACTCCTAACTAAATATAGATCAGAAAGAGGCTGCATCTGTCATTTTCTATCTCTGTTAAATGCAACCAGTACAGCTTAGAGGATAAGAAGATTACTGTCCTTGAGAATTCATCTTTCTTTCATCATATTTTAGACCCAAAATGGCAACTCTTGATTATCCTATGCTTGGTTGCTCATTTGTTCAACAAATAATTATTGATCTATGCAATGAGCTTGGTGCTCAGAAGAAAATGGGTACTGCTCCCCCGCTTCAGAGATGTAGACAAACTGGATGATGAACGGAACAACCATTCACCACTCCAGTACAAAGGAAATCACTCCAGTGCTGGCTGGCTGCCCTGCTCCTCCCCAAATACAAATGTTTCCCTTCTCTAAGCCTCTTTTGCACTGTTCTTTGGCACATAAAGAAAAGCGTCAGAGGCTGGATCTGTGAGCAAAGGGTGGAAGAAAGGGTGACTGGATCCTGATGAGATGCATGTGGACTGCAGTATTCACCAAGTTCTCATAAACAGCCTGGCACACAAGCAAAACAGCATCTCTAACTCAGGTTAGGCTCAAACTCTCCGTAGCTGAGGATAATTTTGAATATCTGACCCTCCTGCCCCTCCACTCTCCTCAACTGGTAGAATTACCTGTGCACCAAGGATTGAACACAGACAGGGGTTTGTGCTTGCCACACAAGCACCCTACTAAGTGAGCTACTTGCCTGGTCTGAGAGCAGCCCTTCCTTTCCCCACATTTGGTTCCTAGTTCATATGCTACATGTCAAGACATGTCGAAAGGCTTCTGTTTTTTGGATATACCTAACCTGTGTATTTGATAACCAGATTCTGTGGGGCGCACAAAGGTCCTTGTGCTCACAGATAACACAGAGAATCCAGGAATGTTAAATACATAAAGTTGTCTTTTCGAGGGAAAACCTGTTGGTGGCTAATAGCCTAGGTCATCCCTGTACTATCTATAAAGTCAGGCTATACTTGGCTCCCCTAAGAAGGGCCTGAGGTAACTAATAGTCTAGAAGACCTTCGCATTATCTGTATGGCCAGTGGGTGGGTAGTTGGGGTCCTCCAAGCTCCCACAACTAGGACCAGACATGGCTAACTTGTACTATCTGTATGATGGAGACCACACCAGACCCTCCCCTAGGTCCTTAAGATAACACATATCTCTAAAACTAACCCTCATGAAAGAAGTGACATGTATTTTGAGAAGAGTTTCAGCATTATTATGGCTTCTGGTGCACACAGGATTGTGTTACACTAGGAAACTTTTCTTCCAAACTGTACCATACTTAAATGTCTTAAATAAATTGCCTGGTGTCAGACTAAAAGTTTGAACCAACACCAGCTACTGAGTCGTGTTGAACCAGATTTCCTTCTTATCTCACAAGGATCAACTCTTTGCCGGCCCCAATGTCTGCAGAGACCCCACACAACTCCTCACAGAAGTCAGGCAGCATCACAGAGATTAAGAGTTGTCTGTAGAATTCAGCCAGCATACCTTTAAAGGCAAGTGCATAGTCACCTATGCCGTTACAGGTCTATATATTGAAGCATGCAAACAGGAAAACCCATCAGGATGGGAGTTGCTGTGTCAGGGTAGGAAGGCTACCCATCTACCAGGAACAAGGACAATTTCTAGGAGGCCTTGCACAAGGGCAGGCATGTTCTTTCCAACCAATTCCAAAGAGGATGCAAATAAAGAAAAGCTGTCTCTACCCTACCGGCCCCGCTGAACCTTATCAAAGATTTGAAACTGGACCATTAGCCATACCACCCTGGATGTTCCTGACTTCATTTGATCTTGGAAGCTACACGGGGTCTGGCCTGGTTAGTACTTGAATGGGAACTTTTGAGTCTGAGCCAGAGGTGGGCAAGGAGTAAGACAGGAAGAAGTAAGAAGGAAGGGGAGACCTATGTTCCTTCAATTAACATCTCAAAGTTTTTCTTTTTTCTTTGTTTATTGTCCTTTGGACACTGGAGCCTGAGACTATGGCCTGGCACATGCTATAGATGTGCTCTCCTACTGAGCTACAGCTTCAGACCCACCTTGCCTTGCTACTCATTATGATTAGCTGCAGCCACTGTCTCAAACACAAGCTGGCCTGACCCAGTCTGTATTCAGTTCCAGCTTCTTCTCCGAGCATCACGGAGCTTGATATACAGGCTGACCCACTAACTCTCCCTCCCTCCAGTATTGGGGTTTAAATCCAGGACCTCTCACATGCTAGGCAAACATTCCACCACTGAGTTACATCCCCAACCTTTTTAAATGTTTTAAGACAGGGTCTCATTAAGATGCCCAACCTTGCCTTACCCTCACTGTGATCCTCAGTATAGCTTAGGAAGGCCTTGAACTCGTGATCCTCCTGCCTTGGTCTCCTCAATAGCTAGATTACTGACCCACACTACCAGCCTCAACCTAGGTTGCTCTACAAGGTACCCTCCAGAAGACAAAGTGACTTCAGGCTTGCAGTGCACCCAGGCAGCAGTCTACGGTTATCAGCCCCAGTCTGGGTGCTTTCTTTTAGCTATACCTGTTCAGTTCCTCCATGAGCCGCCCCACTCTCTACCCCCACACACACCTCAATTCAGGAGTTATCCACTTTAACTGCTTCTCTGCTTCAACCTGGTTCATCTTTTTTCTTTTATTGAGCTCTACATTTTTTCTCTGCTCCCCTCCTTTCCTCACCCCTCCCCTTCAACCCTCTCCCATGGTTCCCATGCTTAAAATTTACTCAGGAGATCTTGTCTTTTTCTACTTCCCATGTAGATTAGATTCATGTATGTCTCTCTTAGGGTCTTCATTGTCTAGGCTCTCTGGGACAGCCTGGTTAATCTTTATCGCCTTTCAATCTTACCTTTGCATGGCACTTTTTCCTAAGCTGTACTCCACCCATACAGTCCCACACTTAAGAACTTTATTAGGACTTAGCCACTCCCTTAAGCATTTATTAAAAGTCATGGTGGCACATGTTTGAAACCCCAGCATTTGCAAGTCTGAGGCAGGATTAGCACATATTTGAAGCAAGCCTGGGCTACATAATGAGTTAGGACCTTGTCTCAAAAACAAATAAGCAAAAGAGAAAGTAGAGCTTGGAACCAACCCTTCTATGAGTTTTCTGATTAATATTAAAAAAGCAAAACAGAGTCGTTTATCCCAGTTCTCGTCTGATACTCAAGGGTTTATCTTTAAATAACCCATAAGAAAAAGTTGTAAAAACCTTTGTGACTTACTGAAGTCAATTTAGTTCTCCAAACTAAAACATTGTGAAGTTGTCATGCTTTAACACTCTAAATGGAACTCTAAGACTGTAAAGAAGAGCAACTTAAGAATACTTGATCTGTGTTCCTATGACACTAAGGTTGGTTTTCCATTTTTAGGCCAGGATGCACTGTTTCTGGCTAGACTGTTTTCCCCTGATAGGCTCTGTCTCACTCTGAGACAGGTGCTGGGTTAATATCCATCTCTGTATTCTACTACAGACCACAGCACACAGCTGATAGACAAAACTTGTGAAATGAATACCAAGGACAGAAACTAGAACATAGAACTAGTGGCAGGCTCTATACTGACCCAAAAGTCCATACTCTAAAATTAAAAATAATAAAATGATAACTACATCAGGAACAAAACATGCCATGCCACTTCATAACCAGGGACTGTTCACTGTGAATGTAGGTCTTGGGATTTTTATTTTTGAAAAGCAGTCTTACTCTGTGGCCAAGGCTGGCCTCAATTTCAAGGCAATCCTCCTGCATCAGCATTTCAGTGTTAGGATTCTAAGTGTGAGCCACCATGCCTGTCTTAGGGTGGGAATTTTGAAACATATGGGCACATACATAAAAAACATGGTGTATGTACTAAGCACTTCTTTTTAAAAGCAAAGGTCAGATAATGAAAGGGGAAAACTGTCCAGAAAAGGAAAGTAGTAAAGAATGACAGAAGATAATTTTTTATCTCTGGATTAAGACTTCTTTAATATACATAATGTATAGTACTTCATATAATTTATTAATGTCATTTTCTATAGGACACTGTAATTAATTCAGTGACATTAATATTGACCTCATACAGACAAAGGATGAAAGCTGGGTGTTCTTGTGTACCAAGTACAAAACATGTGTTAAGAAATCAACATAGACAACAGTTGTACGAGATCAACTTTCAGGATGACTCAGTTTACAGTAGTCGCTTCACACGGTTTCCTCAGGACTGGACACCCCCTGGTGTAGGCGAGTTTGTGCGACGGCAGCTGCGGGCTGACTACCTCCTTTTGCCAGCCCCACTTTTGCCTGTTTTACTGCTGCCACTACTGGATTTGCCAGAGGATTTTGAAGAGAAGAGTCTTGTCATGAACTCTGAGACATCAGGCAATTCATGGTTGGAATTCAACATGTTCATTGACTGCTCCATCTCCTGCAGGAAGAGAAAGTGCCAGATATGAGAGGCATCCTCCCTGGGTCTACCTGAATCATTTGTATGTATGAACACACTAACAAAAGAGTGTTACTAAGCAAAATTAGGTTAAAGGATCAAAATATCTCGATTAGGCATATCAAAGTTATTATGCATTTCAACTGTGTAACAAGCAAGGCACACAAAAAGACCAAGATAGCACAAGAAAGACATTAGCATTCACTAAGACAACCAACTGTCCAGTGGAAACAGCTAATTGAACACAAGAAAACATAATGCTGCATGTATACAAACTCTTTTTTTTTTTTTGTATACAAACTCTTAAGAGAATTTGCCATGGGAACTAGGATGAGTTCCCATGCGGTTCCATGCAGTTCACTGCTGCAGTGAAACAAGAACCAGAACCTGACCAAGAACAAGAACCAGAACCTGACCACATGACAGCCCGCGAAGCTGAGGCAGAAGATGGACAGCTCAAGGCCAGCTTCGATAACTTACTGAGATTCTTCCTCAAGCTAGATTTAAAAACTGGCACTAAGAATGTTGCTCTGTTTCAGTGGTAGGGCACTTGGTAAAATGCGCAAGGCCATGAGTTTACTCCCCAGTGCTTGTGAGAGCACATGCACGTGCGTGCACACACACACCATGTGGGTACACATATACACATCTTCAAAATGTCATTTGAAAAAAAAGCACAGTATGACTCAAAAGTCCATAGCTGGGACATACCCGTCTCATGTCAGGATCACTTGTGTTGACCACTTTAGGCAGAAGCACAAATATCAATAATGGAAGAACCATCATCATAACCTGCAGAATAAAAAAAAAAATCAGAAACCTTTTCTTCCACTTTAGCTTGCAAAACAAAACCTGTTTTTAATAACTAGTGACAATATTCAAGTAAGTACACAGTACACAGAATAAAATGTATCCAAATTGCCTTAACAGTAACCGACCAGCTGGGTGGGGTGCTGTGTGACTGCCGTGCAGCATCTGAGACTGACGGAGTCTTGCTCATGCAGGCACTGATACCAAACTTCTCTTTCTGTCCTTGTGAAGAGTTTAGTTTGAACACAAATATTTCTAAGTGGATCTGTCTGCTCATTCTTTCTCTTCCAGTGCAAGCTGGCACTGGTGATTCCAATGGCCAGAGGGCTGCTCCTCACAGACAACGGTCTGCTTCCTGAGTGCTGTGTCACTGCTCTGATTAATTACATTCCCTAGACCTGCAGCACAGTGGAAGCCAATGACTTGAGCACATTCACCCTGAAGACGGCCTAGAATCCTCCAGCACTTGACACACTTCTGTGCAATTTCAGAAACAAGAACACCAAAGATGAAAATGGTGGTGTTTCATTGCTGAGGTTTCTCTTCTCAGCTGCTCTCCTGCCCTTTTGTCTCTGGTAATAAACCCCAGGTATTAATCTACCTTCACCAGATGTATAGGCCCCAAACAGCCCTGTTTATGATCTAAACAGTTATCAGCAAGGAATCTAATCCAAATTTAGAGAATCCTAAGATAAAACAATTTTCAAAAACATTTAAAAAGGTCAATTTGTTTCTAAAGAATTATTAGTATTTTACTAGTAGGATGATAACATGAGTTGTGGGTTGTTGTTTCACGATTAATAACTACTTAAAATACTCAAAGATAGGTGGCACACATCTTTAATCCCAGCACTTGGGAGGCAGAGGCAGGCGGAGCTCTGTGAGTTCGAGGCCAGCCTGGTCTACAAGAGCTAGTTCCAGGACAGGTTCCAAAGCTACAGAGAAACCCTGTCTCGAAAAACAAAACAAAACAAAAAAAACCTCCAAGATAATTTCTCTGTTTACTACCCCAGTTTTAAAAAGGAGGAAGAAAGCCCTACTTCCTTCTGGAGACAAGTTCATTTGGTAGAGTGCTTGCCTAGCATTCAGGAGGCTCTGCCTTTGATTCCCAGCACTTCATAAAACAACCAGTCATGTAGTACACCCCTATAATACTAGCACTTGAGAAGTAGAGGCAGGAGAATCTGAAGTTCACTGTCATCCTCAGCTACATAGCAAACTCAAGGCCAGGCTGGGATCCACTAGACCCTGCCTCAAACAATAATAAAACATTACATGTGTCATCAACATGGACTGGTTAATAAATGACCGCCATTTAGCAATGGGCAAATAGGTAGAATGGATAGGTTAACTCCATATACAATTTAGTAATATTCTCATTCTATCTGATATCTCATGAATGTAATAGTCTGTCCTGTCTCTTTAAGAGACAAGCCACGCCCACCCCATCTCCTGTTCACTGAGGCAGGCAGATCTTCCTTCCTGTTTGCAGCCTGAGTCTCTTCCTTTTTCCATCTATCTCTCGGAGACTTCTCCCTCTCCCGACTCTCCCTTCTCACTCTCTCTCCCCCTCTTCTCTCTCCTCTTCTCCTTCTCTCCCTTCCCTTCCATAACCCACTAAATAAATATCCAAACTCACTCTGCATGGAGTGCCTATCTGTCTCTTGCCACTGACACGTGGCTTGCCGCCTGGGACCAGCTGCCTTCGCAGACCTGTGGTGTGGTCTCATGCTCAGTCCCTGCCTAGGACTGGCTGCTCTCGGACCCGCTACCCACTGCTGCCTCTTGACCTGCAGTGTTTATATTGCTGCAGCCACTTGGGGGATCCACAGCATTTTTAATTAATCTATTATAATGAAATCTGATATCTTCCTCAATATTCATTTCAGTTGCACATTTACTATGAAGTACACAGTAGAATTTTCATATTCCTTTCCATATCTGTTTCTAAGGACTATATTTTCCCAATTTCACCCTTTCCTCTCGCAGGAGTTTAAAGTTTCCAACTGCTAGAAGCAAACCAGGGATTAGTAAAATGCTCTAACATACCATTGGGTTCATCAGAAAGTCTGTCCAGCCCCACGATTCCCTCTTAATGAAGTAAGAAGGTGGACCTGAAGATTTCATCTGGAGAGGATAGGGTAATCTGACCACTTCTGATGTTTTGATGTAATTCACATATCTTGCTCTAAGGAAACAGGGAAAAATGAATTCTATGAAGAACATGACATTTATCTAGCATGTGCAGTCACAAGCTACTGCAAAAGAAAACATACACATAAACAAAGCAAAACAAACAAAAAACAACTGCTTATGTTAACAATGACTTATAATTACCTTCAGCTTTTCCAAAGCACTTCAGGATCTAAACATTTTTTTAAATTACCTACTTATTTTTATGTTATAGGTTGTTTGCCTCCATATATGTCTGTACATCATGTGTAAGCAGGATCCAAGCATGCTAGAAGAGGGCGTGGACACCTGGAACTGGAGTTAGAGATGGCTGTGAGCTGCCATGTGGGTGTTGAATACTGAAGCTGGGTCCTCAGCAAGAACAGCCAGAGCTCTTAACTGCTGAGTCATCTCTCCAGCTCCACGTGCAAACTTTTGATCGTGAAAGTTCGATCAAAGTGTCTGCCTAGCCAGGCGGTGGTGGCACACACCTTTAATCCCAGCACACGGGAGACAGAGGCAGGTGGATCTCTGTGAATTCGAGGCCAGCCTGGTCTACAAGAGCTAGTTCCAGGAAAGGCTCCATAGCTACTGTGAAACCCTGTCTTAAAACCCCTCCCCCCCAAAAAAAGAGTGTCGGTCTAAAGTAAGGTACACAGGAACTAGATTTGGGGTCTTCTAGCTACATCACTTCTTACTCTTGCAGGTCCATGTAACTCCTTACCTACTTTTTATATCAAGTTAGTTATTTTAAATCTGGGTATGGTATCAAATCTTTGTAATCCTAGGACTGGAAAGTAGAAGGATCAGAAGTTCAAGGCCAAATTCAGCTACAGAGGGAGTTGGAAGTTTGCTGGGCTTTATGAGACTTTGTCTCCAATGAGCAAAAAAAAAAAAAAAAAAAAAAAAAAAAAAAGAGAGAAAAAAATAAAAGAAACACCTCCTTGTCCCCCAATTATTTTTGTTTTAGAATCTTTCCCACTTTCAAGACCTTTCATACACGTAGTAAGAAATTTATTTAAGAAGGCAGGGTGTCTCTGTGCATCTCTGGCTATCTTAGAACTCACTCTATTGACCAGGCTGGCCTTGAACTCAGATATCCACCCTCCTCTGCCTGCTGAGTGCTGGGATTAAAGGCCTGTGTCAGATATGCAAAAGTATTGGCTTACATATTTTTGATGGTCTAAAATATACACTACTGGATATACCCAATGTTTAAGGTTATTTTACAGGGAAAATATACAATTCAAGAAAGCCATAAAAAACACATTTGGTAATATCTTATTTTTACCAGATATATATTGGGGGGTAGGCAACCACCTTGTAGCTATTGTTCATTTCTTGTTATTTTGTTGTTGTTGTTCTGATTTGGTTTTTTGTTTTTTGTTGTTTTTTTTTTTCTGAGACAGGGTTTCTCTGTAGCTTTGGAGCCTGTCCTGGAAACTAGCTCTTGTAGACCAGGCTGGCCTCGAACTCACAGAGATCTGCCTGCCTCTGCCTCCCGTGTGCTGGGATTAAAGGCGTGCACCACCACCGCCCAGCTTATTGTTCATTTCTTTATCTGTGCTGCAGTTTGGATCATTTATTTTACTATGTTTTCCAGTTCATCAGACATCTCTTCTGTTGTTTTACAATCCATTGATCTTTCCACCTCAATGCCTGTATTTATTGTAGAAATCCTATCTTATCTTTTTTCAAATATCTATTGTCTACTTTGATACATTGCTTGTGTTAACAGGAAATCTTCTATTTCTTTTTTTAATCCTCTAAAGACTAGTATTTTAATTAAGACAAAGTTACAAATTTATACACAGTAACTTTTACAATGAGAACAACAGATAGCAAGTCTTTCTTTTCTTTAACCACTTTAAATATACTTTTAAACTATTTTAGCCTATATCTAGTATCCATACTATCTTAACTTTCTAGAGGCCTGTTTTCACTGGCTGGCTCAATAAACACTGTTTCCGTGGGTATTTTGAAAGAAAAGCAGACTTTATTTACTCTGAATTTTTAGAGTAGTTTCAGCAAATAGAAATGTTTTTCTGAACATAAACACTCAACAGAGCATCCCCTGCCAGAGAGTCAAGCATTTACATGTGCTACTATTCGAGTTATACTAACCAAGGGTCATCTTCAGTCTTCAGCTTGGAAGCTCCTAGATTTTGTGAGAAGAAATAAATTCATACCCCAGGTAACACATTTTTTACCTATTTAGTGTGTGTTTGGGGGGGCACATAGGTGCCACAGTGCACTTGTAGAGGTCAGAGGACAGCTTGCAGGAGCTGGCCCTCTCCTTCCATCGTGTGGGTCCTAGAGATCAAACTCTGGTCGTGAGGCTTCATGGCCTGTGCTCTGACCCACACGGGCCCTCCTTTCCATTTTTATCAAGAGCCTCGCTTTCACATACACACTACAACTACATTTGATAATTTCTTTACTGAAATTTGTAGTATATAAAGGAGAAGCTATAGAAACTCCTAGATCAACTTTTCAGCAAATAGAAGGATTATCAAAATATTTCAATGACATGTCAGGAAAAGCATTTCAAATTTAAAAAATAAATAATTCTCAAATTTAAAAGTCAAATTTCAATTATAATTTCACAGTACTTTTCCCCTACATCAAATAATCTTACCTTCACGCTATACAGTTATAGAAGGGGTTTACCATATTAGAAGCATTCACTTAGGGGGAAAAAAAATCCAACTTCATAGTCTCAACATAAACATTTTAAGAAGCAGCTGTGCTTTAAATAAGAAACGCTCAACCTTCACTGTGAACTGCAAAAGTAATACATAACAAGTAGATTAGACTTTAATAGAAAGAAATGTATCCTCACCTCATTTTTCCTTTTGAAGTGATATCGACTCGCACAGGATCAAACTTGTAAGCTGGAGAGATAACTTCCACTACGTAAGAGCCAGAGGGAATGTCATGAACCACGAAACTCCCATCTGTCCTGGAAAAAGGAAAGTCACACTTAGTCACTTCTCATCAGCACCTTAGTCTCTCCGTTTTGGTTTTTTTTTTTAAATTTGTTTGTTTTTTGTTTTGTTTTGAGACAGGATTTCTCTGTGTAACAGCCCTAGTTGTCCTGGAACTCATTCTGTAGACCAGGTTGGCCTCGACTCACAGAGATCAGCCTACCTCTGCTTCCCAGGTGCTGGGATTAAAGGCATGGTCCAGATGGACAGTGGTGGCGCACTCCTTTAATCCTAGCACTTTAATCCTAGTGGAGGCAGAGGCAAGCAGAGTCTACAAGAAACAAGCAACAGGGAAACACTGTCTCAAAAAATAAAATAAAATAAAATAAAAGGTGTGGGCCACCACCGCCTGGCAGTCTCTCCCGTTTGAAAGCACTTGTTCATTTCCCAAAGAGTTCTAGAAAAACATCAGAAGAAAACCAGATTCTTGCACCTGAGAGACTTAAGCAGAAGTATCATCATGGGTTCAAGGCCAGCCTGGGCTACATAGTAAATTTCAAGATAGCCGGGACTACATACAGTGGAAAATCCTGTCTCAAACAAACAAACAAACAAACACACAAGCAATTAGAAGCAAACAGAAAATACAGGTACAATGACTTACTCCTGTAATCATAAAATGTAGGAGACTGAGGCAGGAGGATCACTGCCAGTTTGGAGCCAGCCTGAACTACATAGTGAATTCATGGCCAGCTTGGCCTACATAGTTTCTGCCTCTATTCCTAAATAAACAAAAAATGACAAAAGTTGGTCCTGCAATTTACATTCCAGTATTTTCAGAGTTTGCAGGCACAGACAAGCCTAAGGCAGAGTATTAGACTCCTGCGGCAGGAGGACAGCGACAAAGGGCAGCTAGTACTCTGCAGCCTTGCCTTCACTGAAGACAGCTGTCAGTGCACATTATCACAGTAGCAGGGTCCCAGCTTTACTCATTCCCTTCCATACATTCTGCTCATTTAAAAAAGCGTTCTGTTTTAGTTTTAACTTGTATTTGTTGGCTTTCTTTTCCATATAAACATATTTCAATAGTAACTTCCATTTATTATAAACAGTCTCATTTACTTTAGTTACTTTTTAGCCGGTTATGCAGAAACCTACAATTTAGTAGTTAAAACCATCCATCTTTTCTTCCTTTATTTCTTCTAATCCTACTTGTTAAAAAAAATTACCCAATCAAAAGCTGGTAATTTCTTTTTGCAAGTCAAAATTAACCTGTCTAGAAAATGAAAAACTTCTTTTTCAAGGAAAAAAGACATAGAAAATTAAGATGAAAAGTGTTTCTTGTCATTGAAAGACTATACCAAGGTAAAGCAGAACTGAAATATAAGCATTGAGATGCCTTATTCCTCAGCAGATCCCCTGTCTAACCTCCAGACACACCTTCAAATGTACCTTGAAAGGGTTTTGGAGAGTCTAACAGCTTCAGGAAAGATGCATGTGGTGTGGTTAGAATTAGGAGACATTTGTCTAGCCAAATCAACCCTGACAATGAGGTGACAGCCGTCACGGCCATATCACCCTCACAGTCCCCAGACCCTCTCTCTACTTTTCTTTTCACGTCTATGGGAAGGGAAGAAAATTACTTTAGTGTATTTTTTCCACAGCTTTTTCACGGACAGACCATCTCTGTCTCTGCTCAGGATCACAGCTACACACGAGTTGCCTCACCCCACACACACTTCACACACTTCCAGCCTCTTCCCCTCCTCTCCCCACTTCCCTCCAGCTTGGAGGTGGCAACAGCTATGTTTTGCTTTCATTGTACTACTGGGTAAACAGTGTTGAGGCTGGAAGCTCTAGGTAGTGTACACTCTGACTGTTCCTCTATTCCTTGATGACTGAACTCTATGTGAACTATTCTAATTTTAATGCATATTCTGCTCTTTTGTTTTTGGAGACAAAGTCTTGCCATACAACGCAGAATGGCCTAAGACTCACAATGCTAGTGTCCCAGTCTTCCAAGAGCTAGGATATAAGCGTAAGCATCACATCTAGTCATCTTCTGCTTCTTGATGGACCCTGACAGAATCAATTTCAAAACATGTTTTTTTCTGAGCATGGAGGGAAAAAATGAGTGATGGTTGTTCAACACAAACAGTATCAGGATCATCCAAAGAAAGCTAAGCTAGGTGTGAGAGCCAACACCTGTAATCAGGTGGGAATCCAGGAGGCCGTGAGTGTGAAGACAGTATGAACCACACAGTGAAACTACACAATAAAAAGATTTTAAAAATAAGGAGTATATAATCTTATAATATCAAAACAAAACAAAAACCAAAAACTGACTGTAATTGATTAATAAAAATTGCTGCGGATCCCTGGCAGTGGCAGGCAGCAGAAACACTGCAGGTCCCCAAGCCGTGACAGGCAGGGGGCAGCGGGTCCCGAGAGCAGCAGGTCCCAGGCAGGGATGGTGCAGGAGACCATGCAGCACATCTCTGAAGGTGGCTGGTCCCAAGCAGCAAGCCATGTGGCAGCAGTAAGTGAGAGACAGATGGATAGGCACACCATGCAGAGTGAGGTTGGATATTTATTTAGTGGTTATGGAAAGGAGGGGAGAAGGAGAGAAGAGCAGAGAAAGAGGGAGGGAGGGAGGGAAGGAGAGAGGGAGGGAAGGAGAGAGGGAGGGAAGGAGGAAGGGAGGGACTGGAGCTGCCTCTGGGGAAGGAGCCAGAAAAGAGGCTGGAAGCTGAAGATCAGCTTGCCTCAGTCGGTGATGGGGAAGGGAGTAGGTGTGGCTTGTCTTTTAAAGAGACAGAACAATCATTACTCTGACACCTACCTAATTGTTCAAAATTAGAAGACTGGATAAGTGCGTTGTGGTTTATATACACATTTACAATATAAAAACAGGCTTGCATGCTCTTCAACCCCAGCTCCTCTCATCTCCATTAGCAAAGTTCCAAGCCACCTCCCCACAAGCCAAAACTACAGTCAAACTTGTATGCTGACTAGTCAAAACAGCTGTCAGACAAATCACCTATCCTATTTACGACAAGACTATGACCATAAAAATCATATAAACTCTCAACCCTTCTATATGAATATAAGAGCACAGAGTAGAAGCCAGGTGGTGGTGGTGCACTCCTTTAATCCCAGCACTCCGGTGGCAGAGGAATTCAGATCTCCGAGGTTGAAGACAGCCTGGTTTACAGAGTAAATTTTAGGGGAGCCAGGGATACACAGAGAAACCCTGTGTCAAAAAGCCAAAACAAACAAACAAACAAACAACAACAACAACAAAAAACCAAAGTACTGTAACATTTTTAATAAATGTTAAATTAAAATTACAACGTCTTATGTGCTTTAATCTCCCCACACCCTGCCCCATCAGTCAGTTTTTCATCTTGTTCGCCAGCTCCTCCTGACAAGTTATCATGGCCAAGTAAATGTGAGGCCAGGCTAGCCTGGGTGAGGCTCCTTCCTCAAACACTCCTCCCACGAGTGAGAAGCCTGGCACCTTTATTCTAGGCTCTGCTGAGGGGAAGTGGGGTAGGCTGAGCCCACATCCTGGGAAATAGAGCCTGGATATGCTTTAATCTTAAAAACAAGTCATAAAACTTTAAGGGTTTGTATCGTTCACTGCAACCTTTTAAAAAAAAAAGTCTTATTTGTATTTTTCACAATAAACACTTATTTATTTACACTTGGGAGTGACTCCAGCTCCACCACAAAACTATCGCCAGCCAGCTTTTTTGAGATAGGGTCTCAACTAAGTTGCTCATGATGTCCTTCAACTTATATCCTTCTGCATCCACTTCAGGAGTAGCTGGGATGATAGGCATGTGGCAACAGGCAAGGTTAATAATATATGACAACATATATTAATTTTAAAAACAATTTCAAAATAAAAATAAGTGGTTTTCAAAAGTGCTACACACTGCAGAAGTTAAATTCTCAATTAAGTCTTACCTTTCAAAACTTAATGAGATTTTATTATTACTATGATTTTTTGTTTTGTTTAGTTGGTTTTTTTTAGGAGGGGTTCAAGACAGGGTCTCTTTGTGTAGTGTTGGTTGTCCTGGAACTCACAGAGATTTACCTGCTTCTGCCTCCCAAGTGCTGGGATTAAAGGCGTGCACCACTACCGCGGCGGGGGGGGGGGGGGATTTTTATTATTAATGCATCATTAATTAGGATAAACTCTAAACAATACCCTAGTGCCAGATGAAATTAAAATACTGTTTATCACCGGAAGGTGGTGGTGCACTCCTTTAAACCCAGCACTTGGGAGGCAGAGACTGGTGGATCTCTGTGAGTTTGAGGCCAGCCTGGTCTACAAAGCGAGTTCCAGGACAGGCTCCAAAGCTACAAAAAACCCTGTCTCAAAAACAACAGCAGGGGGGCTGGAGAGATGGCTCAGTGGTTAAGAGCATTGCCTGCTCTTCCAGAGGTCCTGAGTTCAATTCCCAGCAACCATCTGTAATGAGGTCTGGTGCCCTCTTCTGGCCTGCAGACATACACACAGATAGAATATTGTATACATAATAAATAAATTAATTAATTTAAAAAAAACCACAACAGCAGGGTGGTGGTGGCTCACACCTTTAATCCCAGTGCTCATGCAAGAGCTAGTTCCAAGACAGGCTCCAAAGCTACAATGAAATCTTACCTCAAAAAAACCAACCAATCCCTACAGAGGTCATAGAAAGAAAAAAAAAAAAAACAAGCAACCAACCAACCAAACAAATAAAACACACACATGCGCACACACACTCAAAAAAATGGTTGTCAATTTGTAGTTATTTATTAATGTGAGGTTGAATTTCCCACGAGGGAACTTTAACAATCTGCAGAAATCTGCAATTCAAACTTAAACGTCCACATTTAAGATGTACGGTTTTCAGATATCACAAGTTAATATACAAAGAAATATAAAAAATAATTTCAACCCCTAATACTGGTGGTAAAATTTAAAACATCATATTCATGCCTATAAGGATGAAAACAGACTGCTGACAAGCCAAATCACTAATAAATTCACCCCACCTTCCCATAAAATCCCATTTCTCCTAAGAACGAGAAGAGGTATGTGTAAGGAATTTTGAAAAACCTTAGTCTGACACAGAAGACGACCGCGCTATCGCAAATCCCCCGACGAAGTCAAATGTAAAAAGAACAATAATCGCAACCTCGGGCCAAGGGGGAAAAAGCTCTTTGATTAGGGACTTCTGGGCCCATTAATTTTAGAAGCAGAAACATCAGCCTTCCAGGCTTATGTCACTACCGGGAGTCCTTTGGGCTTTGATAATTCCCACTTGTTTAACATCTTTCTACACAACACCAAGCTACCAGAAGACCGACAAGTAGAAAGTACCTAGGTCCCTGAGAAACTAGACAAGATGCAAAGGTGCAAAATATCCAACAAACAAACCTGGGCGCACCAATCCCTTGGGCTCAAGTGTCATCCGCCCCACAGGGGACAAAATGAGCCCATACAAGGGGGCAAAATGGGGCTACAAATAAATGACCCCAATGTTTCGGGCCTGGGGCCACTGTCCTCCGTCCTCGTTGCTGAAGTATCGCTGACTGCACAGACTCCCAGCACAGACCGTTAGTGGCACCTGTACCTTCAGTTGGTGACAGCTACGCTGTCGGTCCTGACACTGTGCTGTCCTAGCTGGATACCCTTCCAGCGTCCACCCAGCCGCTTTCCTGCTGCCCTCAGGATGCTCACTTAAGGAAGCCGACGTGCTCTTCTCCGTCTACCAGCACTCGGGCCGCGGAGATCCAGTCCTGAGGCTTCACCCCTGGAACGACCGCACGTCCCTCGATCTTGAAGCGATCTCCCGGGCCGACCCCGCCACCTCCCGGGCCCTCGGCAGCAGCCCCAGGCACCTCCGAGCTGTGGGCATCTCCTGAGAGTAACAGCAGCAGGATGGAAAAGAAGCCCCACAGAGCACCCGCCATGACAGCAGCTCTGAGGAGTCAGGCCCACGGCCCGGAAGCCCTCCCCCGCCGTACGGGCACCGCGGCGGCGGCCGCCGTCGCTGAGCGATGTCGTCATCACCGCGAGCCGGATCCAGCCGCGAGCTGTGCCGGGCCCGGGAGAGAAGCTAGAACAGCTCGCCAATCAGGAGAACGGACGAGAGCGACGCCAGGGCCGCCCCCAGAGCTCCGGCTTAAGGGGCGGTGAAGCGCGTCTATGGCTGCCTTAGACTGTCAGCGGCAGAGGCAGAATGTGTGTTGTTGTGGCATCTGCAGATGCACGAGCCTTCAGGGAAGTAAAGGGTTAGGAGACGAACTAGGATCTGAAGTGTTGAGTGTTGGATCTGTAGCTAACTTGTCAGACGTCTACTCTATCATTTTCTTGAAGTTCTTTCTAGCTCCAGATAGTCTCATTTTGTACCACAGATCTCTGTAAAAGATTTATGGCAAGGTGTGCTTTTTCCCCTGTGCACTCGGTCTCCACAGAAAAGTTACAGAAACTGAAACACATGCAAAAGCTCTAAGCTAACGACGGAGAGTGGAAATGCAGAAATTTGGGCTGAAAGGGAAAAAAAAATACATTTTATATACAAAGGAATTGGTGGTCTGTATTTAAGAAGTACGTGGAGAACGTTTATTTTCATTCCATTTTAAAATTTGCATTAATTTTTTTTTAACATACATGCACAGCTCGAAGACCGAGAAAGTGAGGTTGTCACTCTAGTCGGTCTGTGATGCACCTAATACGCATAGAGTGCAAATGCCAAGACCATCAGAAACAGCGTTTTCCTAAGACCATGCGGGATCGAACAACCTTCTGTTTCCTTGATGTTTATTTACCATGAGTGCCCCAGCTCTGCTTTTTTTTTCTCATTGTCTTCTGCATGATTTGCTAGCATTCTTTTCAGCATTGATGCTCACTTCCCCGAAACACCTCAGTCACTGAGCAGAAGTTTAAATACTGAAGAAAAAAAAAATCCCTCTGTATTCTCTTTGACTAATACACTGTTGCTCTGGTATGAGTTTTTTCCTAACAGTGTTTGCCTGCCTACGTGCATGTTTCTAATGATCTCTATCTGTTGGACATTATCAAATGGTGCAATATCCAAAAATTTTAAGTATGCAGAATAGACTCCTGTCTACTTCTCTGTCTCTTGTCATTTCCATAACTACTTGTCCAGAGATAATCTACAAGCAAATATGTATATTAAAAATACACACATGTGTATTTTTACACAGTGTAGCAGTTAAGAGCACTTGCTACTCTTGCAGAAGACCTGGGTTCTATCTATTACTATGGCTTTGTAATTTCCGACCCAGGTGATCTGATGCCCTCACCCCCACAGGCACCAAGCACTGGCGCGGACCGCATGACAACCACCATTGCTGCTTGACAAAGTTCCAGCTTTCAACACTGCAGACCATGCTTCTCCAGCACCTTTTTACTTTCATCTTTAATGATTCTCAATATTAATGCCTTTCCTTTTGGGAAATTTTGTGCAGGCTTTGGTAAAGGATAAAAATGTGTACAATGGTAGCTTCTCTAAACAAAATAATTCTTTGGAAAAAAATCCCCACCACCTCAGAACCAGGAATCCCATTGTGCCCCCCTAATTACACCAAGAACAGGAAAGTTAGAGATTTACTAGATACACCTGATCCCAAAGAGGAACTGCCCACAATTCAGATCCAGAGCCTGAGGCTATTAAGTGCAAGAGTTCAGTTAATAAATACAGATAAATCAGAATGCTATGGTATAATGGGAGAAGAGTAAGGCATCAGGACCTTCCCTTTTGGGAGTGTTATAAGGGAACAGTAAGACTAAGAAATTGTAGTATTGTGTCTGCTCCTCAGAAGTCCTTTTCCAAAGTCAGGCATTTGGATAAACATTTCACTCAGGGGTTTGAGGAAAGTTGCTGCTTGATAAAGCACTCATTCTCCTTATTTCTGACAAGAAAAACTTAGGGCCCTTTCATGAACAAAATATGATGAGTGCCTATTGCCATGGTCAAGGCTGGCTTCCTCAAGCCCTGATTTCGAGACACATCCCAGTTCACATGCCTCTTTTCTACCTTTAATCCTATGTGCAGTAAAAGATGTAGCCTTTTTTCATCTAAATCTGCTGGCAGCCATCCCTATTCACCCACAGATAGTGTCTGTCTTCTCCACTCTCCCCACCCCCACACCACACATCCTCTTTGGGACCTGAACACTGCCCCACACTCTCACCGAAGCTGGTCTCTGGCAAGGCGCACATGTGGTTTATATACATACATGTGAGCAGACATATATAAAATGAAAATAAATAGCATATACTCGTGAGGCATAATGTATATTTATATGACATTTAACATACCGGATATAAGTATTTATTGTATATATTAAAAATTAGTGTTGTGAGCCCGGACTGGCCTTAAACTCACCAATTCTTCAGCCACCGAAGTGCTGGGAAGATTGACATGAATTGTGAGCCATCGCCGTCAACTCAATATGTTATTTAGTGAAAATTGAGCGCACTATAACACATGAATATAAAAATGTATGCAGCTATAATGCATACATGTTGTACATGTATATGTTTCCATACTATATATATATAACAGCAAACTATGAATATAGTTCTGCACTTTGCCCTTTTTAACCTAATGTAAATTGAAATGTAAATTGAAAGAAAGTACTTTTTTTTTTGGTCTGTTTTTTCATAGGCAGGGCCTTATACCACAGCTCAGATTGGCCTGGACTCACTATGCAACCCAGGCTAACCTCAAATTTGTGGCAGTTTTCGTGCCTCTGCCTCCCTAATTCTAGAAGTACAGATATGAACCACTGCTCTCAACTGTAACTTATCCTGACTGTATATAAATGAGCTTCCTTGCCTTTTTATGACTACCAAGTATTCCAGTATATGCATCTACTGATTTCCTACCGAGAGACTTTAAAATTGTTCTAATCTTACTGATTTGCTGAGGTGAATTTCCGTCATCATGTTATTTTCATATGTATATCCAGAATTCCTTTTTTTAAGCAGGGCTTTAATCCCAGCACTCAGCAGGCAGAGGCAGGCAGATCTCTGTGAGTTCGAGGCCAACATGGTGTACAAAGTGAGTTCCCAGACAACCAGAGCTGTTACACATAGAAACCCTGTCTCAAAACAAACAAACAAAAAAGACTAAAAAATATAAAAGATTGGTGCAGAATTCTTCTTTTATCAATGGGAATGTATTCCAGTATTCTCAAAGGGACCATTAAACACTGGATAGCCCTATATAGACTCCATCTCCTATATACACTACCTACAAAAAGTTTAATTTATAAATTAAGCACAGTAAGGGAGTAATGATTAATAAAACAATTCCAGCAATATACTTGGCTAAAAGTTATTATAGTAATAGTATAGGAATAAAAGCTAACAGAAGCTGGAGAAGGAGGAGCTATCTCTATGAGTACCGTAGAGAATGAAAAGTAACAGTTGAAGACATTTTTTAATCTTTTTAAAAGATCTTGTCCCTTGAGGTAATGTCTCAGAAAAGTCATATGCTGAAGCTCTAAGTCCCGTAAGAATGCATTTGAATATAGGGCTTCTGGTGAAATAATGAAAGTTAAATGTCAGAAGGGCAAATCCTTATATAACAGGCCTGGTTCCTAATAAGGAGAGGGAAAAACAAGGGGATGAGCAGAGGCCACATGTAGAAGAGACCTCAGGAGAAATCAACCCTGTCAACATCTTCATCTGGAATTTCCACCTGCTGGAACTGCGAGGTAATAAATTGTTGGTGTTAACAGGTCAAGCTAGCGAATGGCTAGCAGATTAATAACAACTGTGTCTTTGACCTCTCCTCCCTGACATTCTGCTATATGCAGCAACCAAGGTCTCCATCCTTTGCCACATCGTGAATGGGATCCAAGTTATGTTGCAGACTTAGGGGAAAATCCATGTGTTCAACCAAGGAAGCATTTCATCAAAGATAAAAGCTCCAAATGGCAGTTTTAACCTGCAGAGTTCTGCCCGTGGTGTTCATTTTTCAGGACAGGAGGAGCTGGGCCCTCAGACTGTTTCAGATCCAACCAGGGACAGCATAAGCATTATTGAACAATCGTTAAAAAAAAAATGAGAATATGTAGACATTCCCCCACTAGTAACCACTCTCTGAAACATAAAATAAACTATTACACTTATAAAGTAAATAAAAAATTACAAATATACAAAAATAAAAGTAACTTCAAACTAAGTTTTAATTTTCTTCAAGTGTATGTTTGGAACCCTTCTCTGCTGATATCTTAGAGAAGGTGTCTAATAAATAATCAGTACCGGTTCTGATCATGCAGATAGGAACCTGCAAGTTACTTTTTCTATAGGAATAAGAGTGGGAGAGGACAGCTGCGGACATCCACAGGGATCTCCGCCTCCCCACTTCTACCTTATTCCCTTGTCTACTGTCACTCACCAAAGCATCTAGTGTTTTGAACCCCTCAAGCACAGAATTCACACATTCACTGGAGGAGACAAATATGAATGCTCATTTGAGGCATGGCAGAAGTCTGTTATCTCTGCTGTTTTCTAAGTAGGACATGGGTTGTATAGATAATCCAACTCCAAATTATAGGACAGGCACTCTATACCATCCACCTTGGACTTGTTCTACTACAGGAAATAAGTACAGTAAGCTCCTTTAGGAAGACCCTATATGCTAGATGTACTTTGCTTGCCTAAACAGACTAACATTCCTGCTTCACATCCCAGAAGATTGACCCTTCAAGGACTGCAAAAATTCTGTTCTCTTTTCTTCTGTCTTCCACTTGGTTTAGCCAAAGACATGTATGTAACTGCCCTTTCAATTTCCTTTACCAATGCCACAGAAAATTTAATGATAGAGTAATTTACAATTACTCCTTCCCAACTTTCCATGTATTTTCTGTCAAGATCCAAGATCCCGAACCGTGGAGACCAGGCAAGCCTACTTACCTTGGTGATCAGTTCACCACCTGGGCCTCCTCCCTTCCCATCCTCCCTTCTCTCTTTCCCTCCTCCTTTTTCTACCAGGGCCCTCAG